GTGATTGATATTGAAACCTATGGTTAGAGCAATTTTCAGCCATTTATTTGGAGCCCACGTGGTTAAATGTAAAACTTTGTGTCGCCTGCTTATGCTCCAAATATTTATAAGCTTTCATGAACCACTTGTGCTGCCACTTCTAAGTTCCTTATCCAAAAAGAGGAGGAAAAAAAAGCCCTTTCCCACAGGAATTCTCCAACTGAGAGAATCTTGAACACAAATAGAAAGGATACATGATAAAGTCACTGAAAATTTGAATTCTGACCCTAAATTTCAAAGATCAGTTAAATGCCAATTCAGTTTTATTTGAAGCAGTTTATCAATTATTGCTGAAATGTTTGCCTTGGTGGTAAAAACATTGTTCCTGTCTTCTTGGGATGAGAAATAGAGAAAATCTAAAGCAGTGTTTGGGCCCAATGCAGTATTTTCAGTGCCCAGTTCAGTGCTGAGTGTAAGGGAGATGCTCTAAGGTGCCTGGCACTGCACTGATGTCTATGCGAGGTCTCACCCACTTGCTCCTTATGTGTTCTGGATGAGTTTTTCCTCTTCTTTCTCCCACAAGATAATCCACATGACATTATTGCCACCTGAGCATGACCCCTTGCTTTCAGGTGAGTCTCCATCTGCTCTTGCTTAGACTTAAAAAGAACCAGAACAAGAGCTGGGAAAACCAGGGAGAAACCCGATGAGGGCAGTGCCAGGCATGCAGTCCTGGATGGTTGTGGACAGTGGAGTTGTTCATGGGAAAATGGTAAAATATTGATTGCTTCCTGTTATAGGATGCTGAAACTTTTCACTATGAAGGTTCATTGCTGCTTCAGACAGTTCTAATAATTATTAATTATTATTGTTATAATGATTGTTATAATTTTGAGGCCCACAGTAACATTTCATGTTAAAAAGCCAGGCGCAGGTGTAGTGCAGGTGAAGAGGAGGACTCTCCCAGGGAGGTACAGGCTGTGGTTCTGCAAGACACCCATCCACACTACCAACAGTTAAACTGCCTTTCTCTGACTATTTAACTGGTTTTACTGGAGGGATCAGGTTGAATAAGAAAATTGAGAAGCATCTTGGAATAGTAGTTTAGGCCCACATGAGACTGCTGAAACACAAGTTGAAGTTCCTATTCTGATTCAGACAAAATCAGAGGTTTAAAAAAGGGTTATCACATCACAGTGGTTTTCAGGAAAAGAGAGTAGAAGCTGTCTGGATTTGTTTTAACTTCTTAATTTTTAACTTTAATTTTTTTTTTTTTTTTTGGTTCAGTTCAGTTTTTTTGGTTTTTCAGTTTTTTTTGAGAGGGTGTTGTCGTGATTGGGGTTTTTTGGGGGGGCTGGGGTTTTTTTTGTGTGTGTGGGGGGGGTTGTTTTTGGGGGTTTTTTTGGTTTGGGTGTTTTTTTTAATTTGTTTGTTTGTGGGCTTTGTTGTTTGTTTGTTTTTTGTTTGTTGTTTTTTTTTTTTTTAAATACATTGCAAAATTTCAACTTTATCCCAGCTTAGAACGGGAGAATTTGTTGGAAATTTGGCTGGTTTTTTTTTTTAAACCATATCTTCTTCCACATCTGCACACCAGTGGGGCAAAGCACACTACTTACAAGGCTGGCAAACACTGGTGCTGCACTAACTGGGGAGATTGGGCTGTCTTGTTGTTGTGGAGATATATCCAATTGCCCCAGTGTAAATCAGAGGCCTGGCAGGCTCTGTGGTCTGCCATAGGGGTCACTTCCAATGTAGAGCTTAGAAGTCCAGAACAGTGATGGCATTTTCCTCTTTGCATGATCTGTGTACATACCTCAGAATGCTCCAAAATATAAACCAGAGACCCCTCTGACAGTGATGGCCTGGAGGAAATGGTGCAACAATTCATAGAGCTGGGGGTGTCCTTACCACTTCTGCCTAGGCATAAAAGGCAAATCCCAAAGCTCTTCCCCAATGCATTCCCTAAAGTCACAATGTTTGCTCAGATTCCAGCTCATGTTTCGGTAGAAGGGAGAGCCTGAGTTCCACAGGTGACCCAAAGCTGAGGAAGATCTTTAGCTTACAAGGTCAGAGCAGAAGGAAATCACTATCTTTGAAATCCAGAGTTGTTGCTTAAGGACTCAGCTTGTTTTCCCATTCGTGCTAAAAGTCCTCCCTGTCTTGCTATGTGGCATCCCTTCCTTTAGCTCATGGAAAGATAAATCATAGAGTATTCAAAGGGGAAGGCCTTAATGAAGAAACTTGAACTGCTTTAAGAATTGTAAAAAAGAAAAAAAAAATTAAAAATTACAGAACTGTTACAAGTAACAGATGATTCCCGAGTGTTTCCAGGGCTGAGCTTGCTCCCATGCTGACTTTAGCTGCACTCTTGTGGTTTATTTTCAGAGCAGTTTCCCTGAGAAAATAATTGCAGTGCCTTTACTCTAGGGCCATGCATGTCCCAGATGAACCAGGCCTCTTTTAGCACATCAGTATTCATTGTCTGAGTGAATTAAGTACTGTGCTAAATTATGGAAACTCTGCCATGCCAGTCCACATCAACCGTTGTTTCAGCCCTCCCCACCCAGTCTTTAATTTTTCCTGAACAATAAGATGTGAATCTGGAGACAGAAATGTTCAATGGGGCATAGAATGGCAGGGAAGCAACCATGGAAAAAACTGTGTGTGTGTCTGGATGTGTGTATGAGTCCAAAGCCATGTCAATGGCATGGCCCCTCTGGGGGAGCAGGACATGGCTGGGAAGGACACTGTATAAAAACAGCTGTTTCTGGTGGCCATCAGGAGCATGCTGCCATGCTTGGCTCCTGGGGCAGTGCTGGGAGCAAATACACAGGGATCAGTGCTTGGGTGTGGGGGAGCAGAAGGACATGTCCCCACAGCTGAGCCACCATTTCCTCAGTATGGAGGGGCAAGGAAGCGAGGAGCACTTCCAGCATTTGGCTCTACCAAGCAGGACCAAGCTTCCCACCACAGGACAAAGGGCTGTAGCTCTGCAACAGCACCTGGAAAGAGCTGGGTGACTGCAGAGACAGAGCAAAGGGTGGGGAAGGCTTTGCCTGAGCTGCCAAATTGACCTGCCATGCTCTAATTCTGGGCTGCTCTGAGCAAGGATTTAAATCCTCACGTGTTGGGCATCAGCCAACAGGAAGCTCTGTGTGGGTGGGTGCAGCCAGTGCTCAGGTTTTGGCTAACAGCCCCACAGGGCACCAGTGCAGCTCTCACCTGTTGCATGGAAGCACTGCATCACTATCTAAGCCCACACAGATGAACCTCCAAGCCACCTGCTTGAGATGGGTCATCATCCAGTTGAGTTATTCTTCTTCCCCCTACATTAACAATAGGGCAGAAATGAGCCTTCTTACTTGTTCTCTTTCCCTCATCTTTTCCATGCTGCTTCCTAGGTTTGAACTACAGCCTCTAACTTCTAGGTGGTCTTCCAACCCAGGATCAGCCTGGCCCTACTTGACTTTGGAAAGCAAGCAAAACCCAGTGTGCTTACCTCAGCACAACCCACATAAGCTTAACTCCATGGCTTTACCGTGATGAAAATTCTTTTGTGGTTGATGCAATTTTTCTATCTGATCAGCAGTATTTGATGTGTGTTGAAGGCAGGTTCAGCTAGGGTGAAGAGCATATGTCCCTCTCCTAAAAAGTAATTTGGGGTTTTTTTGGGGAGATATAAATAGCTGACTTTATTGTGCTGGTCATGCACGCTAGTGCTGGCACGAGGTGCATAGCATTGAACTCTGAAGCAGTGATGACTAGTGTGTTCTCATTTCTTTATAGAACTTTGCATGCTATGCCTGATATGGATTTTTATTTTGTAACTTGATTGCTACAAAGATACATTCATCAAACGTGATTACTGCCATATGAGCCAGTCAACAGGGAAGGTCCTTCTCGCCCTTCTGCACACCCTGTTACACTGAGTCCATCTGCACCAGGAGAAAATAGACAGAATTACACAGCTAGATGCTCCAGGCAGAAAGCACCAACAGCCACTGAACTTCTTTATGCCTTCCCTCCCAAATCCCTTATTGGTCTGTGCTGTACCATGTACCATGAGATTGGTTAGTGAGGGATTGAAATTCATTTCCATTGATGTATGGAAAGGGAGACCAGCATGAGGCTTCATACAGACATTACAGGTTTAATTTTCTCTGCTTTCCTTTTTACACCAAGACTTCAAGCCAAAAAATGTGTCAGAAAGCAGTCGTGTACTCCACCTTAGCAGGTGGATACATCCCAATTCTCAGTCTAGTTCTTGTTCACAGCTCTCTGTGCACACAAAGAAGTTCATCTCACTGGGCACATTGCCTGAAAGCACAAACGTTACTCCCTAACCTAGATATCATGGTCTCCATGCCATGGAAGCTCATGCTGGTCGATGTGTTCCATGTGCCTTCCAGTCAATACTCTAAGGAGTCTGGAGGTTCAGCAAGGGGATACTAGCACATTGTTGAGAGGGATTGCAGTGAAGCCAGTGTGAAGGGAGATAGTGGAGCAGACCGAGAAGGAAAATGTGCCCCAGCACAACTAAGGCTGATGAGTACTGCAGAGTTTCAGTCCAAAAATGTAGGGGACAGCAGATCCCATCCAAGGAGATAAAGTCCAAAGCTCACTGTGTAGGGAGACAGACGTGACAATCCCTGCTAGGTAGCTTACATGGCCAGCTGACAATGGAAGCACACGAAGCAATGATGTATCTCCCGGTAGCCCCTAGAAACACTAAGGCTCAGGAGCTTATAACTGCCAGGGTGTTGTTGAGAACGAATTATATCAGTTTCCAGGTTTTTATCACAGGAATTCCTCCATCTTCCAGCTGCAACCCTGTAGGCTGTGTGTCCCGATGGCCTTTGAGGCACGAGGGGCAGGCGAGGAGGGAGCATTGGGCTTGTGCCTCGGCCTGGCTGCTTGCCCAGCGTGAGGCTGAGTGGGACATGAACTCAGGCAGTGCCCAGCCTGCCTGCAATGAGCATCCTGCTGCTCACCCTGATCCCCTCTGCTTGTCTGCTTTGCAGGAGCGCTCGCTGACAGGGTACCTTGCATGGAGAAAGGGAGCAGAGCAAACCACGTCACTCCACCGAACGACACCAGCCGGTCCTCTCACCACCCCCTCTGGCTGAAAGTCCAGCAGAGAAAGCAGCTTCCTGTCATGAAGCCCCTCCGAGGAAGTCTCGGTCCCACGGGTGCCTTTGACCCAGAAGACAGCACATCATAGATCCACAGTGTGCTCAGCATTCCTGCGACCACCCCTCTTCTCCTCTCGGAACGCTTTTTCCTCTTGGTTTCTTGCTGGGGGGGATTTTTCACCCAGGTTTCAAAAACCACACGGACCAACATAGGTACTTTTCCCTCACTGACTTCAAAGTTCAGATATTTGAGACTGGACAATGATACGGATTTTTTTTTAATTTTTTTTCCTTTGAAAAACTGCTGTGGTTTTGCTGCTACACTAATAATCGTGATTTGCATTGTATGGTTTTGGACCTATTCAAGTTTTGATGGGGGAAAGGGGTAATACTGGAGTAGCAACGCTTCAGAGTCATCTCTGTTCCTACCCATGATGCACTTTTAAATGAAGAGTTAGAATATTTTATTGGCTAATATACTTTCCTTGTTATTTTTACAAAGGCCACCTTTATCCTTTCTAATGCCATATTTTCAGTGTTACACTTTTATGGCTTTTAATTTTTGATTTGACAGATGTAAGAAGCAGCATGAATAGTTTATACTGTGGTTTTTCAGAGACTGAATGCCAAGAGAACTCAGTAAATGTTTATTCTTCTCAGCTTTCTCTTTAAATTCCCCTAAATAGCGCCCCATTTGGGAACAGAGCAAGAGTGTTGAACTAAAGACCAAAATTCCCTCAAGGTGTAAAATAATCTGAGGGGAATATTTGCTGGGCGTCACGAAAGACTTGGATGAAATTTCAACCCTGATGGTTTTCAGTGATCCAGGAAGGCAGTGAGACAATCTCTCCATATGCATAGCCCTTTCATGATAATTAGAATGGTATGGACAAACCAATGAAAACAAGGGTAAAGTGAGAAAGATCCCCCATGATTCTGTTTCACTGTTTGCTTTCTCCTGTCATGGTTAAGAGAAATGTGCAATTTGATCCTCAATCAGTGGGTGGAGGATAACAGGGTAGAATTTACTTGTGTGCACTTGTACAGTTGTAGCCAAGAGTCCAAAAGTACACTAGAGCATGTTATACTGGCACTGAATTGGTAAGAGAGTTGTGGAGTATCCCATTCTGACAAATAAAAAAGAAAAAAAAAAGAAAATAAAAGAAAAAAAATACAAAAACCCATAAAAACCCCACAAAAAATCAAAAAGAAAGAAAAAAACTAAAAAAAAAAATTCAGATCACCTTGTGATTCAGTGTAACTGTTTACTAACTCGAATAAAGCAATTGTTCACTCTTGAGTGTTCAGAGTACACCTTTTCTATAAGGCTGCTGTGGGGAAGAGAGGAGCAGTTTGCAGGAGCAGAGAGTCTCTGTGGCAGTGGTGTTGGGAGCAGGGCAGCAGAGTCAGTTGAACCAGAGCCTTGTAGTGATGGTGCACTATGAGCACTATGTATATACTGTATTTCTATATTTTCCTTTGTACAGATTCACTTAAGTCAAGCTACTGTTTTACAGGTGCTCCTTATTTATTAGAGCTGTGAAAGCTTGGAAATCACACCGGGCGAGTAAGCTCGCTTTTTAAAAAAACAAACAAACAAACAAAAAATCAACAAAAAAAAAAAGGGGTGGGTGGGGGGGAATCCAACAACTCCTGAGTCTAGGGGGAGAGCTCAAAGACATTTTGATGAAACATCTTCATGAGAGCAAGAATCTGAAGCACCCTCAGTGTGCTCTGCTTTCCTTTCGGTCTTGCAACACTTTTCTCTCTCCCTGACTGGTGTCAGATTTATTAAAACAAAATAAATCTCCAAGAAAAAAAAAATGCACTTAAATGTGCTGTTGTTTTATTTTTCTTTTTTCCCCCGCTCTTTGTGCATGCATTTATTCATTCCTCTACCTGCCTGGTCACAGACAAAAAGACCCCTGAGTCTGAAGCCACAGAAAAATATGTGTAAGGTGTTCTTGAAAGCTGTATCAATGTCCCTTCCATCTTCGTGCATCCCTCAACACTTCTCAGTTTCTGCTGTGTTTAAGGCATGGGGAGAAAATACTCTGCACTTAGCACAGTGCAGATTTAGGTCCTGATCTTGAAGAAAATCCCTGGATAGATGCAGTGGCTGTAGCTTTATTGATTTAGAGGGGATCTGTGCAAGCACAGTTTTCTCATGTTGCCTCTGTGGCAGTGTACAGAGAGTATTCTGCTTGCCTTTTGTGAGGATGGGGCTTTTCTGTGCATAAACTCCCCCTGAAATCAGAGGTTCTTCAAAGAACCAAACTCCTCCCAAGCCCCCAGACCTCTGCCACAGCTATTTCACACAATAGCATTTGCTTTCCAGATCTTGGCCAGCACAACCAGTGCTGCTGATGGAGGTCTTGGAAATGTCCAGTGAGCTCTGGAACTATTTGACTGATTTCATTAACCAGCCATGTAAGGCAAACAACAACAGCCTAAGCGTGCCTGCTTGGAAGGGCATGTAGAGTAAAGCTTGTCTCCCTAGTAAACAGCTTGCTGCATCTCTATTTATTCATCTGAACTTGGCTGTAAAACGAAGGCCGTGTGTATTGATTTTGCTTTTGTCAGTGGTCCAGAATTGTTAGCACACATTTTCACTCTTCTGAAAAACAACAGACTCTTTAGAGAAATCTTTCTCTCTGGTGAACTGGTTTTCTTTTCCAGAAATGGAATCAGCTTGTCAAAAATCATCGGGACAACAGAGGTAGAGAAAGAGATCTAGGCTAGAGCTGGCTTCACATGTTCCCAGTGATCACAAAATCACCCTAGCCTTCCTGAGAATTTACTCACCTTATACTTTCTTAACATCTTACCCAAAATTCAGAATGTGAACAACTGCTTTGGACAGCTGAATCAGTTCATTGTTTGCTATTGAAAAAATATCTCCAGCTGCATATATGGGGAGAAATATCCAAGTATACATAAACCTTGAGGAAAATGCAGACCAAATGGTACAATACATTATTCAAGAGAAACCTGCTTTATTTCTGAGGCCAAATCCATCCCTTGTACGATGCCAGCAAAATGAATGGAATTACACAAAGGATGTAAAGGTCCTTTGCAATTAACGAGAGCCCAGCAAACACTTGCAGATCGGTGCTCATTTGCTGCTGACATTATTTATTAAGCGTTAAGACCTAATAGCCAAGCCAAGCTCTTTCCTGGAGAACTCACCATCAAGGAGCCCGACAAAGAAAATCCTGTGCACTGGGAGATACAGGGGAAGGTTCCTGCGTGCAACAGCCATCGCTCCAGCTCTTGCTCATAGGCGGTTTTGGGATGCAGAGACTGTCTCCATCAGCAGAGAGAGGCAGTTTTGCCTCGGGTCTCAGAGCAGCTGGCCGTGCCTGCATCCCTTCACACTGCTGGGGCAGAGGGAGAGCTTGCTGTGATCAAGCTGCATGGGCCCTTCTGCTAGCACTGAATTCTTGCTGTCAGCGAGAATTTTGCCCTTGTGATAAAAGGGGGTCTGCGTACTGCAGGCACTCTGCATTAATTTCCTCCCCTGTTGTCTTAGATGATTTTGAGAGCTTTATTTTTTTAGAACTACTACACATGACAGTTTTTTGAGTGGCCCAATTCTGTGAATAAGGATGTCCCTCAAAATTAAAACAATTCGTGCTTTTTCTGTGCTAAATGATAGAAATAAATTTGCTTTGTTCAAATAAGTGCTGTGAGCCAAATTTGCAAGGATGCTTATCCAAGTGAGATATCTCATTCTGAGGTCCATATTTGGACACTCAAATCAACACTCAGCCAAACACATGCATGAGGCATTTCAATGCCATTTGGAGTGTCCATATATAGAACTGGATGTCCAAACTTCATTGCCTTTGTTTTAAAAATAGACCTGGAATATAAAGACATCATTTAATAATAACAACTATGACAAACATTCTGTGTGCAAACTAAGAGCAAATTTGCTGATGCTGGTTCAGGTTGATTCCCCTAGAATTGCTCTGGATTTACGGAGGTGTAACTCAGAAAAGAAGCAGTCTCTTAAGTTGTTTTGCCTTCAACTCTCACTTGATATTGAGGCTTGACTTGATATTTGGGATCTGTGAGTAAGGAAAGGTGGCACCCAGGCAGTATCCACACATAACGTGCAGCATGGGGAGAGATAATCCGGAACAGAGCTGAACTTGCTTCATAGTGAACATAACAACTCAAACGTTTTGAAATAGGGAGAACAGCTTTACATAGGCTTACACACATTTTAGTTGTCATTTATGTGGTACTGGGCAAAGAAATGCATTGCTACCTTGAGCAATACAGGGACATTTTGCACGAAACATGGGAAGCACCAGCAAAACACAGAGAGCTGTGAAAAACACAGCAGAACAGCAGCTTCTGGCTGTTTGCTTCCAGGCATGATGGGAGCATGGCTCGTCAGAGGTGCCATGGATGCTGACTGCAGGGCCCTGCAGCACCCCCATGGGGGACAGGGTGTCTGATAGAGAAGTGTCCCTCAGCCTGACATGTTGACCAATCAAGACCTGCTGGGACTTGAAGTTCTGTGGCAATGTGAGGAACTGACTCGGCCACAAGAAAGAAGAAAAGAGTAACTTAGGCCACTGACACTCTTTTCTCCAAGCTGTTCCCTGGTCTTTAGAGTATTGCCTATCTGCTGGAGCAGTCATGTCTCAGCCACTTCACCCACTGCCCTACTGAAATAAATTTTCCAGGGATACTCAAGACACAGAGAGGCAGCCAACTGCCAAATGTCCACGACCTTTCCTTACAAATGATGCAAACATCTAAAAGTTGTGTGTCCCTACATCAACAGTCCAGGCACATGATTATCACTGGAGAAGAGGCAGCCTCACCGGCTCCCTCTTGGAGCTCTCTGGCATGTGGGCAGCCCATGCTGCAGGTGGGATCCTGCCCCCTAGATGTGGAGGAAAGTGTGATTATTGTTTGCTGATAAGACGGATGAGGACAGAGATGCGTTGTGATTCCCAGCTCTTAGCAGGCCTACTTTTGAAGGACCTTGCTGGACCTATTTAGTAAAAGAAAAAGGCTTGAGGAAGAAGGAATGCTGCCTTCTTTCCCAGAAAAGAATTTTACTCTGGGGGTTTGCTGAAGGACCAAGAGACTCAGCTTCACTCCTCTTCTTCAGCTGAAGGAAACGAGCCCACAAAGACACATGCAAAACAAGTTGTTGAGAGAGGCTGTTATCCCTTTCCATGTCCCAAGCCAGAATCAATGTGATACAATCTGTCCTGGCTGGTCTACTGGGGCACAAGCTATGCCAAGAAAGGCAGCAGAGGTTCTCTTCATTTTGCAGGAAAGAGACGTGAAGATGTCATACACAGTGCCAGGAAGAGGAAGCACAGTGCTCCAGTTAGGGGTTGAGGCTCTCTCCTGGAACAAGGGCATCTGCTTCTTCTCCCAAAAGGGCTTTAGAGTTGCTGCATTTACTGACCCATTACAGAGCCCACTTCTGAAGCAGAGGAAGTCTCCCCTAAGCCAGCTCCAGATGCTCACTTCAGTGTGCTGCAGCCCCGCTGTCCTGCACGCTTCCCGGGCCCTCGGCACAGCAGGACAGGGAGGGCAGGCAGCCAAAGAGCTCCCTAGGGAAGCAGCACTGGCAGCATCACCCAGGCAGCTTTGGAGCAGGGGAGTGTGCCAGGCTGGCAGGGCTGCCCTGACACGTCTGACCCACATGTGCAGGGTGATGCTGGCCCTATGCATTACCTGCCCTCTCCTGAGCACCTCAGGACAGAGATGTGCTTTCTAATTCTTGCCAAGGCAGATTGACTCACTGTATCCCAGTTGCTAGCATGGCCTTTGGCATGACAGGAGTTATGTGAAGCACAGTGTTTGGGACACGCACACACACACACACAGAGGACCCCGGAGCTGCCCGCTGCATAACTTCCAGGTATCTCCCAAAACACATGGCTGAGCAGGGGCCCGAGTGCTGAGGCATGGCTGGGTGCTGGGGAAAGCTCCCTGCTGCCTGCACACCCTCACTAGAGGTCCAGCAGGATGATTTATGGGCAGGGTCAAGTAGAGGAGCTGACACAGACGGGTCAGAGAGGATGGGTGCCAGCCCACAGGCTTATTGTTGGTCGGCATCGAGGGAACGAGGTGGGAAGAGGGGGGAGCATGAGTCAAATTCCTTAATAACGTGAATTATAAAATCATTTCCTGTGTTAGGGGTTAGGAAAGAGAGCGCAGGACTCAGAGATCTTCCAAACAGAAAACAGCTTTTGTTAAGGCTTTTGGCCTAAGGAGTTTGAGGAGGATTGGGGGGGCGGTGGGAAGGGAAAGTGCTG